TGAACTTGCTTTCTTCAGTTTTGGTGATGTTTTACCATTATTCCAATCAGTACCGCGAAGATACATGGATTCAATCCTAGATGTCATTCGCAGTTAAATGTAGTAATGTCAGGACATACTAAATGTAAATTCAGTAACAGTGCATTTCAGTTCTGCCAGCTGCAAAAAATTCTAGTTCACCTTATAATTTTGATTTGGCTTAGAAGTTGTAAATACTCAACAAAGAAAAACAAACAACAGCAAACAAAACAAAATAAACAAACAACAGCAACAAAAGCAAACATTTAATAAGATCACTATTTGTGCAGATTTTTTAAGTGATTATTGTACTAGGTGCTGTAGCAGTGCCACCAAGTGGCATGCTAAATCAATCACACATTTACTGGAAATGGCTCAAATTCAAAAGATAAAAAAATGAGGCAATAGAACTGAGAGGTGATCAGTGAACAGAAATAATATTATAAAGTCATAGAAAGGATTCTGCAGAAGAATCTATGTAGAATATGAATTCCTGTAAATTCCTTGTCTATGTTTCTCCTCTAGCCCTAGTTTTAGGGATGTTCTTGCTTTACTTCTCTGTACCAAAAGTGAAGAGTTTATGCAAACTTGGCTTTTGATGATTTCTGTCATTGTCATCAAATTTCTCTAACTCCTACCTTCTGACTAATGAAAATTAGTATTATGACTGATCAGACTTTAGCTAACCATGACATAAAATCCCTATATTAATTTAGGATTTCTTTGCCCATATAAGTATCTTTGAAAGATGCTCCACAACTTTATTTTTCTCATATTTAGGAAACTTCTCCTTGCATGTCAGTATTTGTACAGATACTGTAAGCATCTGCCCTTCTGCTCTCCTCCTCCCCCCCCCTTTTTTTTTTCATTGCCTACATTGCACTTTATTGATCTGTAGAGAACTAAGTTCCCTTTCAGCTCTCATTTTGAAAAGTTAAGCAAACTATATCCCTTAGTCTGCTCTCATAAGGTGGACTCAATCATCACCTAACCACTGTAAATGGTATGGTATGTGGCCTTGAAAATACCTGCTGTTTCTTAGGTAACATACATTGATAAAATTCAGCTTAATGTGCACAGGTTTACTTCTATGTATATTCAGAAAGTCTATTAGAAAGTTGTTCTTTCTTTAGTTTGGAGCAAGAATCTATTTGTAATATCCTTTTCACTTATTATGACAATGGAGTAGAAGAAATTCTTTGTTGGGAGGAAGATATTGTTGACATTGAACTTAACACATTAATTGGTGGTTGTATATAGATAGCATCTTGGCACATTTTGCTTTTGCTCTGCTACATGCTGCTGTGGCTCTGTAATCAGTAATTGCCATGTCTGTGATTAGCTTGGTCTCTTCAAGTAATCAGTACAGTGAGAAGGTAATATTCAGCAAGAAGGCTGCTGCAGTGGCTTTGTATTATTGCAGATTTCATGTCACTCTACAGTGAATTGTTCCCAAGATGCATTTGGGCCAAGTGTTTCAGCAATTCATAAAACATTGGAGCTTGGCACTGTTTTCAAAATTAATACTCTAATCAAATGAAAGGCAAGAGTTCAATTTCAAAATTAATACCTATGGAATAAAGCATAGCCAGGGAACAAGGGTGAAGCTGAGCTCTGGGCTCAGAGCTCAAGGGCTGCTGTGCAGTGCACTGAATGCGTCTGAGTACTGAGTAGAGTTCCTCCATCTTTGCTATTGTGTCATAAATCAGGGAAAGGAGAGGCAAACAGCCAAGAACACACTTCCATCTGGTTTCAAGACTTACAAATAGTGGGAATGAGAGCCACTTTAAGAGCTAAATTCAGAACTACTCTAATGTGTCCATTTTCTAGATTAGCTCATGATCTAGGAGAGTGGGATGGTAAACATAAGAATAAATATAAACTTACTCTGCATTTAAAATATATGTTTGTTTTGCTGATCATGGGGTGGTGGAACAGAGAGGAAAGCAAGCTTAAGAAAGCTGTGTTACAGCTGGTACTTCTACAAATTCTTGTAATTCTCATAATCACTGTTATCATTAATTCAGCAAACACAATAAATTGTGAGATTAATTGCATCAGCTAATACAGTGTTAAAAGATGTAATAAGAGCAACAGAAACCATAACGAACATTTCACTTAACAAGCTCTCGGACATTTTGAGGAATAAAAAAAGATATTTGCAGGTTGTGAGGATGACAGCAGGATGAACAGTGCAGTTACTGCTTTTAATTAAGGGTAGTATGGTTCACTTACATTAATAAATCACACTTTAAAATAAATTATTACCATAATTTTTTCTGGCTACAAAGCCCAAGATATTGCTGTTGTTTTACAACAGGTATAAAGCCAGCTTAAAATCATTTAACACAGAAGTAATATTTGAGCAGTTAAATCACACAAAACACAAGCCATAGTGATAAAAGGCAGATTGTGTAAATATAGTTATGCCTGTGTTTATTTTTGGGACAGTCTCAAATGACAAGAGCTGCCAGTATTCTGACTGTCTTGTTCTAAAAGATGAAATCATGTTTTCTTTATCTCATTTCTGGTGAAATTAGCTGGTGGAACTGCTCTCTGATTGGTCTGACTGAAAGTTAACCAAAATAAAAGGAAATAGTTTTGAAAATTCTATATCAGGTGGTTTTGTATTATACTTTAAAATATATAATGAAGAGTATATTTCTAATTATTATGATACAATGTGTACACAATACCCAAAACACAGTTATATTTTCTAATGGCCTCATTATCTCACCCTAAGTTTTTCCTAATTTATTTCCTTCCTTTTCCCACTGTGGATGAAAAGTATGCCTGTACTATTTAAGTTATGAAATTCTATAGGATTGGAAGTTTTTGTAAGTCAGTACTTTTTAAATGCACTTTTACACCTTTTCAGGTTTTGTTTTGTTTTTAGTCTTGATTTGTCATTCATATTTCTATTTTGGAATAAAAATTAACATCAAATTTAGCTTAAAATTGTAGACATCTTTTTGCTGAAGGCAATTTCCAAGGGGGGAAGTATAGTTATCTGGAACCTTATAAAAAAATAACGTCATTCAAAAATTATTCCCAATACTGCCACCAATTTTACCCCTGTCTCTCTGGGATAAAGATCTCAGGGCTAAATGGGTCCATAAAGCAAGCTGACATTACTTCTGAAATACAGAAAATTTGAAGGAAATGAGAAAAGAGGTTCCCAATTCTACAACTCATTTTCACAGAGCTGTTGATGTAGGGCAAAAATACATCATGAGTTTTCGTATTGTAACATATAAGTACTTTAATAGCAGAATGCATATGTATGTATGTATGTATGTATGTATTTATAACTTTTATTTATAATCCATGGCTTGAGATATTTAAATTCCAAAATGTACTGAGTGTTTAAAAGATTAATACCTCATTTGAAGAAATTTTTAATAGGATGTTTGGTGCTATGTCCTATCAGTTGTTTAGTGAAATGTAGAAATATTTGATTTCATGTGTATTTTATCCAGAAATATCAGGTAACAAAGAATTATTTCACATGAATCCAGCATCAGGATTTTCATTAGCCAGGTTTTAATTTTCTTCTGATAACCACTTAAATTATTATTGTTACTATTAACTACTACTCTGCTTTTAATGATCTTTTCTTCAAAATGTTGCTTGAAATATTTTGCTGTATTGAAGCCAGAATGACAGGCCAAATAACTACCCAAATCATATTTTACTTTTTCTTAAGATTTTTTTGTTTGTTTGTTTTCTTAAAATTCTACAATTTCAATAGTCCCATCATAACAACACCCAGTCAGATATTTTATTTAAAAGCTGAACTACCAACCCTGCATTTTAACATAAGTTTTTTCCAGTTATGCAATGAGGGTTGAGGGCAATTTACATTCAACAGACTTGACTGGTATAGTACCGTGGAACAAGATGAAAATAAAAGTTAGGCACTGTAAATGTCTTATATGTTGTACTATATTACAAGACACTGTTATGAAGAGTACAGAAATTAACTCCTTATAGAAAAAGCTAATAATAAGGACAGAATTGCAAACCTTGAAATTCTACTTGTTGTATCTTGTAATGTAATAGATAACTAATTAATATTCCTACAATATTCATTTTTATGAAATAGCACAGTGAATACCCAAACAAAAACAACTCTCAAAACTCTGAAATACCAATCATCCACGCATTAAGGAAACAATGACCTCAACAATAAACACAACTAATAGAATGCAAACTCTAATTCAGAAACATCTTGACAAAAATAAAAATAAAAAATAAATAAAAAAATAGGTCAGATGTAAATCATATGCCAGTACTTCAGTGCTGTGTTACAGGATGCTTATCTAAAGAAGGTCCAAGAGCATGTAGATTATGAGGTATTCTTGTTTTAGTTTTTCCCCTACTAGCAGTCTAAAAGCATGCTGCTGTAGACTTGACTGCATTGTTGCCTGAATGCTTTTCTCACATTTTTGTTTCTTCTTTTCCTGTTGATTTTTAATGATTTGAGATGAGAATTCAATACCCAGTATTCATTAATACTTAAAATAGATTCTAAGAGAAAGACTTGAAGAAGCCACTTACATTTTGATTTTGTCAGTGTTGGTGAAAGGTGACAGATTTTTTCATGGATTTTTTAGTCTTCCATTTAACAGACACACTGATGCAGCATTTGCAGAGTTGTAAAATTCCATAAAGTAGATCTTCTTAGTATTTATAAGAGACTTTAAATTCTCCCTTCTTCCAGTATTCAAACAAAACTATTCCTATGTTTAGTGTTATGTGTGATGGTGGTGTCCATGTTTGGTTCATGTAATTATCTTTATACAGGTGTTGCCAAGAAGCTAGACAAATATTTTCATGATGCATACTACAAACATTTTCCAGAATGAGTACTCATATGCAAGAATACTCAAATTCAGTTTTCAAATTCAAAGCATAAGACTCTTTCTGAAATCATTGATATTTGTGGGAATACACCATTTCTTGAATTTCTTCTTTCATAGGATGGAGTTTCAGCATGGGATCTGCTTATCAGTTTCACAGTTGGCGAGTATTTGTGATCGTCTGTGCACTGCCCTGTGTCTCTTCTGTGGTAGCCCTCACCTTTATGCCAGAAAGTCCACGTTTTTTGTTGGAGGTATAACTTTCAAAAAATTTTTTTTTCTTTTTTTTTTTTTGGGGGGGGGGGGAGGGAGAAGGTGTTAAAATTATTTAAAATTACTAAATAATTTTAATTATTTACTTAGTATTATACATCATGACATCTGTATAAGATCATTACATCTGTTTTAAAATTGTTCAGTAACTATCTGAATATATGTTTTGTTTAAATACTTTCATCCAACTTTTAGGTTGGAAAACATGATGAAGCTTGGATGATACTCAAGCAAATTCATGACACAAACATGCGAGCTCGGGGTCAGCCTGAGAAAGTCTTCACAGTGAGTATTACTCTTAAAGCTTAGCACACTTAGCACATCAGCTGCATTGCTGACTGGTGAGATCTTGAGCACTTAAACAGTCATTATTATTACTCCGCATGACAAAACAAATCATTTGCACTATAAATAAAAGAACCAAAATCCTACTGAAATTGCTATATATTGAGCAAATTTTAAGATATTTTTTGAAATATGCTTTTTTTGCATATTTTTGAATATGCTTTGACCAGCATATTCAAGCTTTGGCCATCATATCCTTGAGCATACAAACCCATAGTGTGATAATTTTCTCTGTTGCATGGAGATAATTAATAGACTCCAGCTCTATTTTTTAAGTTTACTTCACCCTGAAGGTTTTGTCTTCAAAGCTTTTGAAATTATCATAAAAAATACAAAAAAATAATGATCCAATCATCATTAAAATGATAATTTTAATAATTTATTTTAATTTAAGCTAAATATTAATTTTACATACATTTAATTTTCTCACAATATCTTGCAAGCTAAACTGCATCTTCTTGTTAACTTGCAGTTCAAAAGATAAGACCATATTATACTGATGGATTATTTCTATTTGGAAGAGAAATTTTGTGTTCAGCTGAGACTTTTTCTTGTATTTACTTGTATTTCTTGTATTTATTTACTATTTATATTATTTATTTATTATGTATATATTATCATTTATAAAGAATATACAATTTTTTTTTTTGGTTTTGAAATCTTGTTTCCCTTTCCAGTTTGTGCTGTGCCATGGGAATGCTGGTACTCTGTTACGTCTCAGAACCATATGTGGGATTTTATTCCTCTTCCTTGGATTTTTTTTTTTTTTTGCACTAATACATATATAACTCAATTAAATATCTTCTTATAGGTTCCACATTTGCAGGCAGTCTAAGGAATATCTGACCATATAATTTTATTCCATTGAGAACTGCAACTTATTGTTTGAGATGTAGTTTCCATTGCCTATGTTTATTTATTTATTATTTTTAACATTCTTTGTTAAACCAGCCTTCCTTCAGGCTGAATTTTGTAGTTCTTGATCTTCTTGCTACAAAATTCAGCCTGAAGGAAGGCTGGTTAGCACTTAGAGCTTAATTTACTGGTACACCAGTAACATAACCCTAATAATATACAACAATAATAATATTATTTAGGTTATCAACCCCCACTCCTTTGCCCTCGTGAGACCCCACCTGGAGTATTGCATTCAGTTCTGGGGCTCCCAACACAAGAAGGACATGGAAGAGTTAGAATGAGCCCAGAGGAGGACCACAAAGAGAATAAGGGTCTGGAGCACCCCACTTATGAAGACAGGCTGAGAGAGTTGGGTTTGATCACTTTGGAGAAGAAAAGGCACCAGGGAGACCTTAGAGCACCTTCCAGTACTTAAAGGGGGCCTACAGGAAAGCAGGGGAGGGACTCTTGTCAGGCAGCGTAGGGCTAGGACAAGGGGGAATGACTTTAAAATAAAAGAGGGTAGGTTTATAGTAGATATAAGGAGGAAATTATTCACTCAGAGGGTGCTGAGTCACAGGAGCAGGTTGCCCAGAGAAGCTGTGGATGCCCCATCCCTGGGAGTGTTCGAAGCCAGGTTGGATGGGGCTTTGGGCAACCTGGTCTAGTGGGAGGTGTCCCTGCGTACGGCAGGGGGGTAAAGTTACATGATCCTTAAGGTCCCTTTGAACCCAAACCATTCTATGATTCTATGATTTCATTTTATTTATTTATTTATTTTAATTTCATTTATAAGTAAAGGGATTTGCCTTTACTCATATTGTACAATTGCAGTGTAATTTCACAGTTGACTCATGCTGATCTGAGCTGCTGTCCGAAGTACTGCTGCTCCCTGTCACCTTTTGGTTTTCTTCTGCCAGTGTGGATTTTCATTGATTTATTGGACAGTTAGCTATGGCATAGTTTCTGTCCACCTATGACATTAGTTTAGGCACTGGGAAGACAGAAATGTGCTAGGATTACAGATATGAGAAATGATTTACTGTAGTCTCACATCAGCTTGACATATTCACATCCAAATGCAGCCACAAAGAAGAAAACAGTGATCTAACAAGTCTTTGTCTCTGTGGTTGTTAAAAGGTAGCACTGAACCATGTTAAACTCAGTGGTTTATTTATAGCTATTTTTGTTAAATTTTCACCCATGAATAAAGCATGACAGAACTGTTTGGTGATTTTTGCCAGCTTCTGCCATGAACATTGAGCAAACATGACACCTAAAGGATTAGAAATAGTGCATTGTATGTCAAGGTTACACGTAGATAGAAGTCCCTATGCTCCCTAATGTAAAATTGTGGTAATATAATTGCAAATACATTGGACAATATTAACACTTTATCTTACTAAGTCCACAGTGTAAAAAAAAAAAAAAAAAAAGAAGAAGAAAAAGAAAATCAATCAATCAAACAAACAAACAAAAACACTTTTGCATATTCTGTTTAGGACACACTCCTCCCCTCCTCTCATTTAAGCCATTTAAGTTAGAAATGGATGTTGTGACTTTTGTCCCAGTAATTTACTCACTTAGCTCTTCTGTGCCCTACGGCTTCAGCTGGTGTCTGCCAGTAACATTCTGTCATTTAAGTGTTAATAATTTCCTCTGCTTTGTGTTACTAGTTACATCAAACAGATATACTTTGATAGTATTCTTTCTGCTTCTACAGCTGATGTAACTTTTTCTCTGTTATTAGTATAGTTTCAGTGTACTTTTATTTGATATATTTTCCTAATTATATTGATATAATCTTACCCTAGAAGCTTTCTTTCCAAGTCAAATTTATTCTTATTAGTCATTTTATTGAGGATTTTATATTCAAAACTATCGAATAGAAAATAAAACAATTGATGAATCATTGGTTTAAGAGTTAGAAACTCCAAACTGTATGTATTCTAGTGACAGAATTGTGGAGGTGATTGCTCTTAATACTTCTGAATATATCTTCTGAAAGCAGTGGCAGTAACAGAGTTAATGTAAAATGATAGTATCTTCTACTATGGGACTACTCATGTTGAACATTTATGTACATGGTTAATTACCTTTCTGTGTCCTTAAACTATATACATTCATTTGATCAATTAGTTTAAATGTTAAAGTTAAAAAAAAAAAAAAAAAAGAAAAAAAGAAAAAAAATAAGAAATTACACATAAAACCAAAATTCTGTCCACTTTCATTGCTATGTACTAAATATATTTTTTTTCTGCAAATGTTTTCTTTCACATGCCTTGATTTTGTAAAACCTTAGATATCACATATTTCTAGCCATTGCTACTAAGCAGAAATTAAACAGAAGTTCCCTTTTCATTTAAATACTTTTTTTTTTTTTTTTTTTTTTTTTTCATATATTGACAGCTAAATTTGCATGGTCCAGATGGACCATTGTCCTGGTTCAATAGGACCTTTATTATGTTAAAGGTCTATCAAAGCCATGGGCTTTTTGTCCCCAGTCACATGCAGTGGTCCTGGACATATGTGATTGCCCAACCTCCACAGCTCCAAACAAGCCAGGTGGCCAAGACAATTAAAAGGTTGCAGCTCAAAAGGTTGCAGCTCAGGCAACAAGAGTGGTGCCTGCTCACACAACATGATTCAAAAAGTATGTCCTTTATGCTCAAAGGTGTGGCATATGTGAGGTTGTCTGTAAGTACAAGGTTTTAAATAATCTTGGAGGACTCAGCTGGAAATCTCAATCATCTTTTGCAGAACACATTTCATTAAAAAATAAATAAATAAATAAATAAATAAGAAAAGTGTAAAATCAAATGATGTAAACAGGGTTGTGCTGTTGGAAGAGGCATTATAAGGTTACAGGCTTTTGATACATTTTCTCAAGACAGTAAGCTTTAGTATTTAAAAAAATGAAGGCAGTCAGATAAAACTAAATTTATTAAAATTTAGTGGGCTTTTCTCTTTTTTTTTTTTTTTTTTTCTGTTAATGTGATGCAGCTGCTGGTCTTCCATAAACAGGATATATTTGTAAAAGCAGTGGGCTGAAAACTAGACTTTGTCATCAACGGTACTATTGCCTATTTCCCTGTAGTCCACTCTGATACATATATGAATAGTGGTGTGCTCAGTTTGTTACAAAAAAACAGGAGCTATTGCTACTTTCAGAAACAGCAGCAGCCAAACATTGAAGGCATGGACTGTTCCTTCTTTATGTGTCAGTCCCGTTCTCCATTTTACTTATTACCTTTTCATTCTCTTTCTATTTGTCATCTTTTTAAATAAACTGTGGATGAATACACTGCCTTTTGCTATAATTCAGGGAGAGGAAACCAAAAGCATACAGTGGTATGTTTATCAGGTCCTGAAGGAGCTAAGAAGACCATACAGCACATTCTTGTTCTGCCACACACTATTGCGCAAGTGATAACTTGCAAGATAGACAACATCACCCTCTCCGTCACTGGTATTTCCATATTTTTCCTTTATATCTGTTTATCTCATTTCACTTTAGATGAAGTAGATGATCATTCATAACAGCAATAATGTGTTGTAGTTCCAGACCATTTCACCTATTTTTTTTTCCTCCTCATTAGAAAAGATAGTTTAAATCTACATCCAAAACACAAGGAGATTCCCTGTCTATTGCTACAAGAAAGAAGAAGAAAAATGTTATTTAGCTATTAATTCTTGACATTTCAAATGCTTCTATTGTCATTATTGTATTTTTAATCAATAGTCTGTCAATAATGTGGTGATAGGAAGTCAGAAAAGAAAGGAAGAGAGAAAGGAAGAGAGAAAGAAAAAGAGAGAAAGAGAGAGGAAGAAAGAGAGAAAGAGAGAGAGAAGGAAGGAAGGAAGGAAGGAAGGAAGGAAGGAAGGAAGGAAGGAAGGAAGGAAGGAAGGAAGGAAGGAAGGAAGGAAGGAAGGAAGGAAGGAAGGAAGGAAGGAAGGAAGGAAGGAAGGAAGGAAGGAAGGAAGGAAGGAAATTCTGGACATGCTTAACTAAAGTTTTAAATAATGTTTTATCTTTTGTGGCATTAGAGATGAGTACAGCAGCATTTGAGCAAAACCTGCCAGTATCAGCTTGTTTTGTGCATAAGAAATGGATTTCCCACATGATTTGAAACTAGAGTTTTTTCAATACAGTTGCCTCCATAATGAACTTTGTTATTAAAGTGTTTATATTCCTTCAGATATAAAACGTTCATAATTTAGACAGAGGTTTAATATCTGTTCATTTTTAGTTATTGTATTTATTAAAAGATTCTAATATGTCATAATATGCAGCTGAATGCTTCAAGAAAGTGCAATTATTTGCTGTTTTGTTTTTATTTCTAGGTTAACAGAATCAAAACTCCAAAGCAGATAGATGAGCTCATAGAAATAGAGAGCGATACAGGAACTTGGTACAGAAGGTGTTTAGTTAGAATTCGCACAGAGCTATATGGTGTAAGTAAAAACATCTCTGTTCTGCAATTACTTTTTTTTAATAAGCATTCAAAAATGGGATGGATTTATTGATCTCACGATGGCGATAATTGCAATGCTACTTGGCTATGCAACTGGAAGATTCAAGAACCAGTGTAAGATTCTAGTTTTTGAGCAAAAGAGGTGCAGGTGAATCACAGACAGTTGGTTTCAGCTTCTGAGGAGAAAAATGTTGCATTAGCATTTACACAAGTAATGGTTTACAGTTATACAGCCATATGCCCAAGCACCACAATGCAGTCTGTACTGAGAATACATATTGATATCTACCAGTGTAAAGAGGTGACACATGCAGAGTTTAAAAATTATCACCAGAAACCTGAGGTGACCACTTTACCCACAAATCATAAAGTAGTGAATAACATATGTAAATGAATGTCAGTATAACCTTTACAAGGCATTGAATCTGCATGTCTTGTCATTAGATGTCAAATGTTTTACTGCAAAACTACTTTAGAGATATTTTAAAGGGATTAAGACAAGTTCACTGGGACTTTGCTCCACATCTTTTTTTTTTTTTTTTTTTTTTTTTTTACTTTTTTTGTAAAATCAAAAATTATGCAGTACCTTCAAGCTGTTCAATGAAAATTGAGCTAAAGCTTATTCATGATGAAAAACAAACAAAAAACCTCACCAACACTAAACATGTCAAAAGAAGGTTTTCACGACTGTTAAAAATCTGGCAAACAAGCAAACAAAAAAAAACAGGAACAACAAACAACAAATAAAACTGTGTTGTAAAGTAAGTTTTGCCACATATTTCCAATCAAAATTGATTTTCTTGGAAAAATGTTCCCTTTGTTATGAAAGATAAAACAAAAGTGGAAGTATCTACTTTTAAACTTATTTGTTCAAAAATGGAGAAGCTGAATATGGAAATGTTAAGTTTTGGCTTTGTTACTATGGCAGCTTTAAAGGAAGCACAACTTGGTTGTTTCACATCCTTGTTATTACACTGGACTAGCCACTGGGCCAGAGTCTCCCTGTTGCATGATGTATGCTAAAATTTCCTAGGACATATGGTCTCTTGTCTTCAGTGTGTGGGAAAGGGGTGAGGGTGGGGAGATACCATTCTCGGCCAGCTCTGTTGTAGCATCTCTGACCTGAGGGTAGTCCCAGCTTTTCCTCATAAAGTACCAATTTCTGCCCATTATAGATTATGATGGCTTATACTGCACAACTCCCTGTTGAATTGTGGAATAAGATCCATCTAAACTCAAGGCTGTGTAATACTGGGAAGAAAGAAGGAAACACTTCTAGGAAAGCCTTCAGCTGGTTTATCTGAGAGAGTGAAACGATGTTGCCTAGAGAAGATGAAATTTTTATGTAGTCAGAGTACATATTAATTAATGGACACAGTGAAAAGAAACAAGGAAGGTAAAGAATGTGCACAACCTGGTTATAGTCAAAGGCTAACAGACTTGTATAAAAAATACAGCTATTAGGTCTATATCAAGGAGATGGCCTGCTCTCTCTCTCTCTCTGATTCCCTCAAGAAGCAAGCAAATCAGAATCAAAAACCTTGTATCATTTGGCAAAACTTTTCAAAATACAATTTAAAATAAATTTATTTCCTAACAATTTTCAGATTTGGTTGACTTTCATGAGATGTTTCAACTACCCAGTGAAGGATAATACCATCAAACTTACAGCTGTGTGGTTCACCCTGTCTTTTGGGTAAGATTTCTTGAGATCCTAAACCATTTTTGATGGACTTGACAGAGAGAAGAATCATCTGCATGCAAATCTCTTTCAATATGATTACCATTTCTCTTTGGAAAAGTTTTATTCAGTATACTTACACACAAGTATAGTATTTATCACTTAGTCTATTCTTGGCTACAAGCGTCACTCAGAAATAACTGGTTCAGAATACGAGCATCTTCTGGTGTTGGTGTCTTCTAGTATTTTTATACCAGCAACTGGGAAATAGAGAGAAAGTGTTCTTGCCTCACCATATTAAAAATATGAACTTGGTGCTCTATTTGCCTTAACTTGAACAGAAGCTCATATTCTGGAAGTCTTCAAATTAGACTTAACTTATACTCTGTTTAGAATGTGTTAGTCTACCTGTCTGCATTTAAAAGCAAAGTTTAAAGCAGGCATTAGAAAAGATTTCTTTGCAGCTCCCGCAGTCTGCCATCTAGGAAGAGATCCATTCTTCATGCCTGGGTGCCACAGGTCTTCCTTGCATCCCTCAGGGCAGGGCCTGGCATCTGGGCCTGTACCAGCACCCCAGCCAGGAGCAGGGCAAATAAGGGCACCACCCTTTGGGACAGGGATGCCGATGGGGGACAGGGACAGGGACAGGCCTAGACATCAAGCCCATGGCTAGGCAGGGCAAGGCTGTGGGGAGCTGGAGACTGGTACTGCTATGGCCTTGCTGTGACAAGCCCCATGAAGTGACTGTGCATTTTCTGTTTTTCACAGCTACTACGGCTTATCTGTCTGGTTTCCTGATGTCATTAAGCATCTGCAGTCAGATGACTACGCGTCCCGAGTGAAACATTTCCGCAATGAGGAGGTTTCGCATTTCGTCTTCAACTTCACATTGGAAAATCAAATTCACAGCAATGGAGAATACATCAATGACAGGTTTAGAGATGTACTAATATCCTGATGGGGCTGAAATAAATAAATGCATGTGTTCAAGCAAGTCCTAATAATCTAATATTTTCCCCTATTAACTATTAATGGATAAGTGTTGATTTGTTAGTTTGTTTGGTTTTGTGCCTTTCTTTTTTTTTCTTTTTCCCCATGGTAATTTGTTTCTATCCTCAGTTCGTCATGACTCAATGTTGAATTGTGCCCTGCAGAAGTGGACTTATATATGCCCTGGTGGCCTCAGTGCTAAATTCTTTATGCAAACACTACTTCCCTCCTGAAAAAAAGATCTAAAAGTCCAAAATAATGATCCTTCTTTCCACAGTGGGATACAAACAGACTCAGTGTGTGCCATAACATTGCAGGGGGTTGAGGAAGGATTGACTTTCATCTATGTGTTCTTTTTTTTTTTTTTTTTTTTTCCTTCTTTGTATTTATTTAATTATTTAATACACTTCAATAAAAATGTGAGACGTTGAAAGGACAGGGTCACGGAAATATAAAAGTGAAATGCTACTGTGAGTCAACAAAAAGCACAAAGAGCTCTAAAAAAAGAAAACAACACCTTGGCAATATCAATCATGTTTTTTAATGAATGCAGATATATTAAGTTCCTAGCTAGAATTTTACAGATAAATAGATAACTAAAGGAAAAACTAAGAACTGCTTTGGGTGTCTGGTTTCTCTTAAGAGATATTGAGAACAACCGTCTGAATTGTCTCCTGAATAACATTGTGATAATTTATTATTATTTCCATATGAATACATATATCTAAGTGAACAAAATCAATGATTTTGGTAATACAGGTCTCTTGCATGTGAACATTGCTTGGTTAGGCATTGGAACAGGTTGCCTGGGGAGGTGGTGGAGTCACTGTCCCTGAAGGTGTTTAAGAAAAGGTTGGATTTGGTACTAAGCCACACGGTTTAGTGGGTAATACTGGTGGTTGGGGGACAGTTGGACCAGATGATCTTGGAGGTCTTTTCCAACCTTAATGACTCTATGATTCTATGAACTTGAGCTTGACACAGTTTATGTATTGACAAAAAAAAATGAGCAGTTTTGTCATTTTTAAACTAGCTATTGCTTCCCAGGTAAATTTATTTTCAGGAGACAGATGTTCTCCTAAAAGCAAAGAACCACTTACTGTCAATAAGTTTTAGATGTTTTATATTCTGTCAACCAAGATTTTATCAAAGTGAACTGAAAATTACTGCAAAACACTAAGTCTAACACTAATATACTCTAAAATACTTTCAAATATGCAAATTTGATAGGCCTCTAGGAGTTATTTGAGATTCACAAAATTCTGTAGTAATATCAACTCTTTTGATATTCTTCTTTGACAAATGTTTCAATACTTCACTCACCCCTAGTTTCACTGTTTCCTTCATGTTTTTTCTTAACCGGAAGATACATCAATACTTCACTTTATGCTTCATTACATTTCTGTTGGGTTTAAATTCAAATCACTGCAATACCATTTTTAATCTAGTCACAACATATTTCCTGTTCAAAGGTGAAAAGTGCATCAGGAGAGTTTAGTACATATAGTCTGCCTTTTCTATTACAACTGACTAATCCAATTGCTAAATGTTCTTTGCTCTCCTCTGAAATTGAAGTACTTTTTAAAATGGGGAGTCTTATATGAAAAATGATAATGAGTTGACACAGAACACCAGCCTGATTTTAATCAGAGACTGTCAGAAATGAGAAATGATATAGTAACTAAAACTAATAGACTGAGGACACCATTTTATTATTATTATTATCATTATTATTATTATTATTGCCAATACAGGAAAAGAATTCATTAGCTAGTAATTCTTTTCTTATGATAAATATAATTAGCATTTGTTCTACTTTCTCATAAAGATGTGATTCTATCAACTGTGTTGCTGAGAGAATAATTTCTACTATTTGAAATATAGCATATTTTTGTGTGTTTCTATTCCTACTAACAGTCTTGTATAAGAAAAATAAGCAGCTAAACATATCAGGTTTGATTAGAGTAGAGCCAATCCGTGTTTGGAAGGCTTTGCCATTTTTATAGTACTTATTGGCATGTAGCAATTAAAGCACTACTTTCCAAAGAGTTATTCCTTTTGTATGCAGTCTGCCAGCAAAACTGCCCTTCTTTAGTAACAGCTTTTTCCATACCCTTATGTGAAATCTCAAATGGTGTAACATCACAAAATTGCTGTTTTATTAATTTTATTTTTATAGATTTTAAATTTCATTTATTCATTGTTTTGGTTATATTTGTTTATTTATTTATTTAAATTTATTATTTAAATGTGTCTTTTTCTTGTTGTTGTTGTTAGCATAATGATATCTGTGTTAAGAGCACAGTGGAAAGAGTTTACAATATTGCTTTAGCCTAGTAATGTTGAGGTAGAAAATTACTGCTAGTAATATACTTTGTCCTTAACTTTTTCTATGAATGACTTCATTAACAGCCATGATCTAAGACCTAGGAATTAAATAAAAGTCAGTAGGAATAAAGATGTTCAGAAATAAGAAAAGTTAATGACAATTCATTTGCGCACATTTTATGTACGCAGTATTTGCAATTGCATCCACAAACACAGGGCTAGAAAAAAAACATTCTTCCTGTTTGATACCTAGCTGTATAACTGCCAATGTAAGTGTTGTGATAATGGTAAAAACAACTAAAAAATCATTTTTAAAATCTTCAAGCAGTTTCTTTTGAATTTGAGCCTGACACAGTGCCCAGTGTGTTTTCATATGGACAAATAAACATTCTTTGAAAAATTCTTTCTTTCCAGCTTGTTGGTACCAGCAGGTGATTGTTTGTTCCAAGAGACTGGGTTCCTGGAGTCTGAGCTCTCAATTTATGACTGTAATGTCAAATTATGAGTTCTGGTCATTTTACAAGGCTATTCCATGGATGTTATGACGTTGTTTTTGGTTGATGATTAAAGACAAGTAATAACTGAAATATTACCACAGAAATGGTATCATTGGTTATGGCCAGCAGGTATGTGTCTTATTAATGCTTTTTCTGAAAGAGTATTCCAGAATCAGCTAATCATTAATCATGTCTCTGGAATGTCCTTAAGTGATCACTGTTTCTGTGGTTGAGGTTCTTCAGCATACCAAATAAAACTATAAAGATTTATCAGCTTGACCTGTTGCTGTTTCTAACCTGTGAAAGTAGAGTTACAGAAATTATTTGTATTTTACAGGTTTATTATGATGAAGTTTAAATCAGTAACCTTTGAAGATTCCCTTTTTAAGAATTGTGTGTTTGAAGACATTACTTCACTGAACACATACTTCAGGAACTGCACTTTTGTGAATACCACCTTCTACAACACAGGTATTACATGAAAATTCCTGAGTACCAATTTTGCATCTGCATGTTATCATCTGACTGTTGTCAACTGATTATAGATTCTGAATTTCTAATGAAGCATACAGGAAGCCTTCTTCAAGGGAACACAAAGCTATAAAATCAACAACGTAATACCAGAGAAAGGATCACTTTTCCATTTGAGATACTGCAGGCCTAGTATTAACTCAGATAATAAATGTTTCTTTCATTTAAACCATCCCTTAAGATATTCAGTCTTGAGATGAGAAATTGGTTGCTTTAATTAGGTGTATTTTAATTTGGTCTAAATGGGACTATTCTATTCTTCTTACAAAGACATAGGAGGTAAGTTCAAGATTCATGCTTCCTCATCTATAATCATTCCCAATCTACTAAGTATTTTACCAGAAATAGGAATTTGTGCTTTCCCATGTTTAAGCAGAAGACCTGATTTGTTTATGTCATTGTTATTGTTTTTTGTTTGTTTGTTTATTTTCTTTCATTTTAAAACAATGTAAACTAAGATTGTGTCCAGAGAGATGCAGCTCTTTTTACTTCTTTCCTGTAAATGAAATAATCATATTAGTTACAGAGTTAGGCTATACCTAACAAGCAATGTCCAGCTTTCAATATTTCTGAGAAATGACTTTAAGGCTGATGGAAGGAACAGAAATAAAGGGGAAACTATAAGGAGAGATCTCTAAAATGTTATTTGAAATAGAATGGTCTGGACTGTTACATATAGTAATTCATCTGCATCCCTTTTTAATAATGAATGCATGAAAATGTCACCATTGTCAAGATACGTTGGTGCCAATATCATACCAGATCCTAGCAAGATCTGACTGATAATTTTCAAAATGATTAGATGCATAATTATAAAAAATGGAAGATATATCTGTGATTATTTGTGCTTTAATGATAAATATTAAAACAGACACTGAGTTTGCAGAACTCACAATTGGTGAAAAAGTTTAGAAAAAAAAAGCATTTTTTTTTTCATTCAAATTTAATGAAAAAAAATAAAATTGCATTTCTAAACACTGGGTCAGATACATTTCTTAGTATATTTTTTCAGACTTGTACTGAGCTGAAGACTGCTTGCAGTCTGCTCATAAATGAAAATAAATTAATCTGAATTCTGAATTCTGTGTGAACATTTCCCTTTAAAGGAAGTCAAACTGAGCATGATCAATAGTCTCATCTGAAAGGCTCTCTGGTATGGAAATAACTAAAAACAAGTCAAAAAAAAAAAAAAAGTCTAACACTGAGCAAGACATAGGAACCGTAGGAACAACAGCAATGCTGGCTGATAAAAACTTGCAGAAATCCTGTGCACAACAAGCCTGGTATGAGAGGTTTGAACCAAATAGGATCCAAATAGAGCTGAAATACATTAATATAATCTGCTTTATTTAATGTCTTAGTTGCTCTTTATTATAGCCTTCACATATTTTTCTCTTAAGATAAAAGGCTATCAGAAGTAAAAGCAATAAGTAGTGCCATTTATGAAGCAGTAAAAGCTCCTAGTTGTCATCAAGATTGCATAAACTTCAAAAGTTTTTAATCAAAACCTGCACATGGAGTCAACTGTTAGCTGAAATCTTACTTTTTCTTCTTTCCACAGATCTCGAGCAATATAAATTTGTTGACAGTGATTTTATAAATTGCACATTTTTCCACATCAGGACAGGATGCCAAATTTCTTTTGATGATGACTACAGTGCCTACTGGATTTATTTCGTTAATTTTCTGGGAACTTTGGCAGTGTTACCAGGGAACATTGTGTCTGCTCTTCTGATGGATAGAATTGGACGTTTAACAATGTTAGGTATGGACTTCACTTTAAAACAGAAAAAAAAAAAGAGAGAGAGAAAAAAAATTCTTTCTTTCTTTTTTCTTTCTTTCTTTTTCTTCCTTTCTTTCTTCTTTCTTTCTTCTTTCTTTCTTTCTTTCTTCCTTTCTTTCTTTCTTTCTTTCTTTCTTTCTTTCTTTCTTTCTTTCTTTCTTTCTTTCTTTCTTTCTTTCTTTCTTTCTTTCTTTCTTTCTTTCTTTCTTTCTTTCTTTCTTTCTTTCTTTCTTTCTTTCTTTCTTTTTTCTCTCTCTCTCTCTCTCTCTTCCTCTCTTTCTATAAAAAAAAAAAAAAAAAGAAAGTGGGACGTGTGCAGGCGATCCTCAGCTACTAGAGTATCTCCTAGGAAAAGTTAGCAGTCCTTTGCCTGCTATCTATTTTGCAAGGTAACACAGCTGAAAGACACCTACTGTGGATTATCAGCAAAGACAGATAGGTTTTTGTTTTACTTAAGTAGCTAAATATAGTCCATTATATTCATTTTCTACAAAACTGTATATAAATACATTTCCTACTCCATGTTCTTATTACCACATTATATGAATGAGTTTCATGTAATTCAGATGTTGAGGAAGAACAGGGATAGTTTTCCTTGCAGTTTCTTTTGGGAGTTCAGAAAGGGTTCTAGCTTAATACTTTATGGTATATCCACAAAGAATATAAAGGAATTACATTTTTTCCTCAATACCCTTCTAACATTTGTCTGCCTGAATGGTCTACTGGCAAAGAATGTCTCTTCATTTTTTAGCTCAAGTATATGGGTCACTTATTTTGCTTCACTGTGTGAATAGAAATGTTAGACAAAACAAACAGTAATCATTCTTTTAAATTCAGCCTCACTTAGCACTCATTTTGTCTGACTCTTGCATAGGTGGTTCCATGGTTCTTTCTGGCATAAGCTGTTTTTTCCTGTGGTTTGGGACCAGTGAATCCATGATGATAGGTATGCTGTGCCTCTACAACGGTCTCACCATCTCAGCTTGGAACTCTCTTGATGTCATTACTGTGGAGTTGTATCCTACAGACAGAAGGTATGTGCAGATACATCTCTGTTAATTTTTTTGACTCCATCTCTCTGTACCACCAGATAGAAATAGTTAATGCTGTATTGTTTACAGAAATAGTGAAGTTTTAGGTGAGCTGTACTCACAGTTTGTCTTAAGAATAGCAAGGAAAAAAAAAAAAAAGAGAGATTTTTTAAGCTCTTGGGTTTATCTTTCTTGCCAAATATCACCTAATCAGGAAAATAACACAAATGTAGTTTCATATGAAAAGAAAAAAAAAAAAGTTATAACTGTTGCTCTTATTTAAAACAATGAAAATAATCAATTTTTCTGAAACTAGTTGAAAATAGTAATAGAATATTTTGGGGTTTCCCCTAGTGCAGCTAGCTATTAACTATGAATTTGGTCCAAAAATAGAAACATTGTTACATTTGTCTTTTGTTCATGGAATGGTAGAGATGATAATAAAAATCACTCTCTGGAGCTCAACAGCATCTGCTATAAGAGATTTAGGGCTTGAACCACACTGAGCTGTTATTCAGCCTGCAGCAAGTTTGTATTCAGGGGCACTAGGAGTCTGTACATACAGACTAGTATCATACATAGACTAGTATCTACATTAAACAGATACATAAGTGTCTCAGGCATTGCTCCTGACCCTTTCTGCAAAGATGCTCTGGACAGCTTTGATGTCCTGCAAGCACTGCTGCTAGAAGACATTTTTCCTCTAATGTTAAGATACTCTCCCATGATGACTTTATGCCACTGAATTAACAGAAGGAAGAAGTGTAGTTCAACAGCAATATGTCAGAGGTAAAATCATAAAAGCCACAACCTATTGAATAGACTTGTATCTTCTTTTTTTTTTTTTTTCCTTCCTTCCTTCCTTCTTCCTTTCCTTCCTTCCTTCCTTCCTTCCTTCCTTCTTCCTTCCTTCCTTCCTTCCTTCCTTCTCCTTCCTTCCTTCCTTCCTTCCTTCCTTCCTTCCTTCCTTCCTTCCTTCCTTCCTTCCTTCCTTCCTTCTCTCTTTCCCTCTTTCTCTCTAAAAAAAAAAACAGTAAAACTGCCCTGTTCTCTGCTAAGGTATGGAGTGTCTCTTCTCTATCACAGTGCTATTTCTTATGCCACTCAGTGGAATCTTCAAATACAGTGAAAAAAAAAAAAAAAAAAAAAAAAGGTCCAGAATTTTATAAATGTCTGATGACTGGCTGTAAAGTCTTAGTTTTTGGACACAGATTCAACTAAATTTGGTACTGTCCATTAAGACAGAAAGACAGTAGACTGGTTGAATATGCTTTCTTTTCATATTTTTTTTTAAATAAGTGCTTCTTTACAGAGTAAACTGTTACGGTTATATCCATTGTTGTGGTTATATCAACATAACCATACTAAGCTACTCATGAATCTAAAGCACTAAGGTTTAAGCACTACAGTTTTTATTACACCTCAGAAATCTTCTGGCAAAAATTATTCCGTCAATCAAATGCTATTATATAATTCTAATAAATGTCCTTTATAAGTAGTTATTCTATTGACATTCCTGAATGTACTAGTCACTGTTTTTGGTTTTTTGTTATTGTTATTTTTATTGTTTGTTTGTTTGTTTTGTTTTTTTTAATGAAAAAAATAATTGGAAAACCCATCGGTGTTAATGAAAAAAAAAATCATCACTAGGAATGATTAAATTATCAGTATGCTACTGATATCTGTTTTAGGGTATCCATATTTTCAGCTAATATTTTTTTTAGTAGTTTCTGCTAACTATGCGATTGTAGAAAATTTTTCTTTTTTTCTTAAAAAAAAAATAATATGCATGCAATAATCACTATGGAACCAAATTACAAAAATGAACTTGCAGCTGAATTTTTGGGGTATTTTTGCAACAACTCAGATAGAGAACTTGTTATTTCATATTATCTATGTAAACAGCCTGATTGGTCAAGTCATCTTAGTTCAGGACAAACATTGCTGGCATATACTAAAGATGAGTTTTCCAAAAGTTCTGGTTCCATCATAGCCACTTTTTGCCTTTTGGGATTATAATTCTGGAAGTTTGTTCCTTCCCATAATTTTTAAGGTTGAGGCAAAGGTGCATCATTCTTTTATTATTCCAATAAATAGTTTTTGCTTACTCACCAGTGAAATGACCACAAATAGAAGTGAAATGAGTGAAATGAGCAGCAAATAGAAGCTAGAGTCTGGGCTGAAAGAAATGTGTGTGTAAGGAGGCCGGTTCATACTAACATGCACAAGAGATCAGGCCGGGCAGCCCCTCCTTTTCCTACCACAAAACTCCCCTTGGAATCTAGCCAATAGCCAAACTGCTGGGGCTTTGACAGTAATTTGCAGGGTAATACAGAAAGTGTTTCATAAGTCGTACCCCAGGTTATTTTTGGAAAATCATACTGGCTTTCTGTCAGGTAGGGGTGTGGTGAGAAACTTGGAAATGCATGGTGTATGTGATACACAGGACACATTCTGGTTTCCTCTTCATTAGCTGCCCACAGGGCAGAAGTAAGGTTGCTTCAAAATCTTAACAGATTTGGGCTTCAAATGCATTCAAAATCGCCTCATTATTTATAAATTTTATAAATTTATTTAACAATCTAATATCTGTATTTGAAGTAATTCTGTAGCTTGTCCTAAATTCTTGATAAGTAGAAAGCTGATAATGGGACTAAAACCAAGACTTACAAGGAGTATCTCAGGGAATTGGAATTGCTTTGTCTAGAGAAAAGGAAACTGATGGGAGACAGCTCTGTCTACAACTACCTGAAAGGAAGTTGCAGTGAGGAGGGTGTTGTTGCAGCAACGAGAACGTTCATCTCTTTTTCTTGGGTGACAAGTGATAGGTTGCAGGGAAATCACCTCATGTTGCATCAGGAGAGGTTTAGATTGGACATTAGGAATAAGTTGTTGAAAAAGGTTTCCCAGGAAGTCATGGAGTCCCCATCCCTGGAGGTGTTTAAGAGACATGTAGACATGATACTGAGAGACATAGTTTAGTGGTGGGACTTGCTAAGTCATATGTGTTTTCCAACCTGGATAATTCTAGAATTCTATATTTTATGCCATTGTCATTTGTTGTTGTTTTGTTTTGTTTTGTTTGTTTATTTGTTTTGTTTTATCTAAATGTTCTTTAGAAAACCTGAGTTGATCTGTGGAACTAATAAAATAAGACATGTTGGAGACTGTATACATGTCAAGTGGTTTTCAGGGAGAGGAAGTTGCATTAGAAAGTAGAAAATACATTACAAATCCTGGTTATAGGTATGTTTCAGTCTTTCACATAAAACATTTAGTAATGAACAATCATTGTAAAACAGTATTTAATTTATTACTTACTTTTCAATACAAAGATTTTAAAGGACACTGGTGATGAGCAGTTATAAGTAAGCTCATTTCTAATAAACCAGTAATTTAATCCTGTTCAATAATAATAATAATAATAATAATAATAATAATAATAATAATAATAATAATAATAATAATAATAATAATGATAATAAATACTAGTATTATCTCATCTTTTGTCCTTACCCTTTATCTTGGCTTTTGTCTATCTTCTTAATGACTTGTGTGATTCTGGAATGCTCAACAGTCAGCAGGTTCTGAGAAGTTTTTGTGGCCCTCTTGAGAACCAAACCAAATTATTTCATGTATTCGAAAGCTCTCCTCTAAAGAAGAATTATTAATAATCTTGTGAACATTTTTGAGTGTTTGTAGAGTGATTTTCTACTCTCATAAACTTTCTGTATTTTCAGAGCTGTTCTATTGAGGGAGGTGATGCAGGAATTAAGGCACTGAGGAAAATGATAATGTTGTCAAAAATGATGTTAGGTGCCTGATTTAGTTCATGTCGGACCTGGAATCCCAATCACTGAGAATTTCAGAAGAGGGAATGGGCTAAAAATATAAATTCCACTGCTCAACACTTCAATGACACAAACCTGAAGGTGCTAAGCTGAGCAGACATAAAATGTGAATTACATACTTCATGACTATTTAGTTAGCTTAAATGACTTGCTAGCATCATATAGAAATTCTGTGATGGGAATGGGGTCTGTAACTGTTCTTCTGACAGCATTCAACTAGCTTAATCATGAGACTCTGCTTTTTCATCTTGCAGTCCCAATCCCATCTGTGTACCTTCCAAATTCTGCAACATATGAGGGAAAACAAGTTTCCTTCACTACATCGTGCTTTATCCCTCAAGCTGTCTTTGTTCTGTGCATTGGCAGAGTAATGTGGAAAAAAATATATTGTATGATGATGTAATTACAGATTGTGTTGTAATTTTTGTGCCAAAGGGACTTGAAACAACATTGCATAATTTTCTAGCTATGCCTGTAATACAAATACGAATAGAAGAGAGTTAAAATTCTCTGAAAAAAAAAAAAAAAAGTAACAATAGATTTTTATGACATTTAAATGGAATTTTTACATTTCTATAAGTATTAAGTGTCTTCTTGTGAGCTAACTTGGGAAGAACTGACTTTATAAGCCAAGACTCTTGTCAAACAATGGTTACAACAAATAAGCCAAATAAGCAGAAAGTGGAATCCTTGTATCTCCCGCAGAGTAAATCAAAATCAGATTACATCAGATAACCAACAATTCTTCAGTTTTGCTAAGGCTGCCAGGCATCAAGGTTTGAAACATGGCCAGGAATATTTAGAATTCAAGGTGTGCTATAAAATGATTTCATTCTGTTTTGCCTTTTTTCATACCTTTGAAAGAAGTTCATAAAGGTTTGGTCATAATTAAGAATTAAGTCACCTATCTTCAGTTCATTATATTTATCTTCTCCTCCTCTTTCTGAGTCCCCAGAGTAATAAAACCTATTCATAGGTTATCTTAAATCCAAGTTTTTATTGTTGTGGCTGTCAGAAGAGAAGTATTCTAGTCGTTTGAGTCATGACAGCAGTCATCAACTTATAGTAGACTTTCTGGCAGCTATTTTCTACTGCCATCCTGTGGATGCAGTTCAACTGCACTTTGCTGAAATTGCATGCTGGTGTTTTAAAGGCATGAAATACCACACCTATGAAGTTTCTCAAGCAAGTCTAAGGCAGGAAGGCACATTCTCTGATTTTACTTGCACATTATATGGTGTAATTGGCAAGACTATGACCTGTGTATTTATTTTTGAAAAGGAGGATTAGAAAAATTAATCCTCAGGCGATTAGAAAATTATCCATAGCACATTCAGAAACTTACTGTTTTCATAGGATTTGCAAGTCATCAAAACCCACAAAAATTTTACTCAGAGTCTTTTGTAAAGTGCTGCTAGTTTAGCACTAGGTCTAGCAAGAGGGATATCAAATGACTGTGTTACACATTCAGTAGAACTCTACAGCATGAAAATGAAGTTATGAGGTGCTCCATAAGCAACACAAAAGTGGACCCGAACTACTTTATTTAAGAATACAAGCACCTGGTCTAAGAAGGAGCATATTTGGCAACTAGGAAACAAGCGCATTTAATCTAAAGGCTTGGATAATCCCTTTATTTTTAACTATTTGGATTCTTGCCATTTGTTATGTGAGACTTGGGTGAAAGGAAGCTCAGTATTTCTCTTTGTCACAGGTTTCCTAGCACCAGTAGTAAAATACTGGGAAAATTCTTTTTCTTTAACACTCAGCTTTCAGTGAGACCTGGCACTTTTATAGGACTTCAATATTTTTTCCTATTAATACTAAATTCTATAGCTTTTTCTATTTTGTTTTGTTTTGTTTTGTCTTTAAGGCAAGCCCACAGTGATTCACCAGGACTGTCTTACTGATTTGCCCAAAGGGTTTATTGACATCCTCTAAAAGAACAAGGGGTTCTTTCTACTGACTTTCTTGCCAATTATTGCCAAAGATTTTTGACAGTCAGAAAGATATTCTTATGCCAGTGTTTTGCCCAGTAACTGATGAACTTAGTGTAGATCAGTGTATTTAGTAATGGCCTTGCACTTCTGTGTTTTTTTCACTTAACTCATTTGTGATCCTGAGGTGGCACATTCTAAGTCCTTGATCATTTGCAGACTTCCAGTACACTAGCACTTTCCCAAAAACTGTAGCAAAGGTTTTATTAGTGTTGTAAGAGAAGACTCTGCTCTCATGTTTGCGTATTGCAACGTATATATTGCATGGCTATGCATCAGTCTTCCCTGTCAGGACCTTTTTCACATTCTGGTCAGTTTTTTACAGGTACACTTCTGATGCTCAGCTTAGTCTGCCTGGTAGTACAAATCTGTCTGTGGTAGACACTTGACCACAGACTTTGAAAGATTACTCCAGTAGGATGGCTCTTTGCTACTTCCTTCAGTACATTTCTCAGTCCTTCTTTGGCTGGATTTCTCCGAATGTCTTCCTAAAAGTTAATCAGTCCTCTTCTGAGGAAACATTTTCAAGGAATTACTGCAAATGTTTCCCTGACAGGAAGGCTTTCAAGAAACTCTTCCAAAGGTCCCTCCTCTGGTGCTCTCAGTAGTGCATTCTCAGACAGACCTCACTGGTCTGCATCATCAGGCAGCAGAGCATGTCGTTTTGAAGATATTCACCTTCATGTGCAAGTTTACCTTTTTAGGCCCTGAGTATTACGTAAGTAATGCAGGTTTAATCAAACATAGAAAAAAAAAGTAGCCATTTGACCATTTAGGACGCATATTAGAGACCCTTTTGCTATTTTTTTTTCCCCAGCTCATTTCCTGGGTAGTTTCTGCTCTGCTATCCCAGTGACCTGCCTCTCCTTCCCTAGATATTAATAATGTTTCTTTTCATGCAGTATCTGCATGGGTACAACATATTGCACAAAGAGGAATTATGTTTACTCAAAAAATAAAAATTACTTTATACCATTAATTCAAATGATTCTGAAGTTGACCCTGTTGATTAACTAGATTTCAGCATCTAAGAACAAACCAGAGCCAGAAATATACGGAAATAGACCAGAAGGGTACCAATCCACCTTCATTATTCCTTTGGTGCAGCATCCTCAAATATAACAGGACCAGTACAATTCTGAAGTACAGCATAGCACATAAATAAATGTTTGCACCCTCAGTAAGTTTGCAGATGACACCAAGCTAGGTGCGTGTGTCGATCTGCTCAAGGGTAGGAAGGATCTGGATAGGCTGCACCGATGGGCTGAGGTAAACTGCCTGAAGTTCAACAAGGCCAAGTGCCAGGTCCTCCACCTGGGGTGCAATAACCCCAAGCAGAGCTACAGGCTGGGAGATGAGTGGTTGGAGAGCTGCCAGGCAGAGAAGGACCTGGGAGTGATGGTGGACAGTCGGCTGAATATGAACCAGCAGTGTGCTCAGGTGGCCAAGAAGGCCAACAGCATCCTGGCTTGTATCAGAAACAGCGTGACCAGCAGGGCTAGGGAGGTGATCGTCCCCCTGTACTCGGCTCTGGTGAGGCCGCACCTTGAGTACTATGTTCAATTTTGGGCCCCTCGCTACAAGAAGGTCATGGAGGTGCTTGAGCGGGTCCAGAGAAGGGCGACGAAGCTGGTGAGGGGCCTGGAGAACAAGTCCTACGAGGAGCGGCTGAGGGAGCTGGGCTTGTTCAGCCTGGAGAAAAGGAGGCTCAGGGGCGACCTTATTGCTCTCTACAGGTACCTTAAAGGAGGCTGTAGCGAGGTGGGGGTTAGTCTGTTCTCCCACGTGCCTGGTGACAGGATGAGGGGGAATGGGCTTAAGTTGCGCCAGGGGAGTTTTAGGTTGGATCTTAGGAAGAACTTCTTTACTGAAAGGGTTGTTAGACATTGGAACAGGCTGCCCAGGGAGGTGGTGGAGTCACCATCCCGGGAGGTCTTTAAAAGACATTTAGATGTAGAGCTTAGGGATATGGTTTAGTGGGGACTGTTAGCGTTAGGTCAGAGGTTGGACTCGATGATCTTGAGGTCTCTTCCAACCTAGAAATTCCGTGATTCTGTGATTCTGGCCTTCTTGGCCACCTGAGCACACTGCTGGTTCATATTCAGCCAACTATCAACCATCACTCCCAGGTCCTTCTCTGCCTGGCAGCTCTCCAACCACTCATCTCCCAGCCTGTAGCTCTGCTTGGGGTTGTTGTGCCCCAGGTGCAGGACCCGGCACTTGGCCTTGTTAAACTTCATGCAGTTGACCTCAGCCCATCGGTGCAGCCTATCCAGATCCTCCTGCAGAGCTTTCCTACCCTTGAGCAGATTGACACACGCACCTAGCTTGGTGTCATCTGCAAACTTAGTGAGGGTGCACTCAATGCCCTCATCCAGATCATCGATAAAGATATTAAAGAGGACTGCCAACAGCGGTCTGTTCTATTTTTGTGAGGCCCCACTTGGAGAGGTGTATCCAGGGGCTCCCAGCACAAGGAGGATGTGGGTTTATTAGAATGGGTTCAGAGGAGAGCTATGAAGTTAATCAGAGGGCTGGAGCACCTCTCCTATTGAAAGAAAGAAAGGCTGAGAGGGCTCGGGCCTGAAAAGAAGGCTCCAGGGCCATCTTATTGCAGTTTTATATACTTAAATAGGGCTTATAAAAAAGACGGACAGCAACTTTTTGCTCAGTCAGACAAGGTGGAATGGAGATTTAGGTTAGAGATTAGGAGGAAATTCTTTACTCAGAGGGTGGTGTGTCACAGGAAGAGGTTGCCCAGAGAAGCTGTGGATGCCCTATCCCTGGAAATGTTCAAAAACAGGTTGGATGAGGCCCAGGACTACCTGATCACCTGGGTGGCATCCCTCCAAGTGACAGGGAAGTTGGAACTAGGTGATCTTTAAGGTCCATTCAACTCAAACAATTCTATAATTCTATGAGCTACAGTAGCAGAAGTTCATCATAGTTACTTTTGAGTACAGACTGTATATGAGTATAGGACCTTCCATTCCTTTACATAGAATTTCACTACAATAACTAAGTAACCTCTTAGTCACCCAGTCCATTAGTTTCTCTGTCAATTCTTTCTGTTTGGAGTGGGGAACTTTTTCCTTCTAATGGCAATAATTAATATTAACAATAAAAAAATTGTTTGTTCTGAAAAGAAGTTTATATCATTGTGATTCTTTTTATTTTGTCCCAGTGAGCTTCAAACAGTTATTCTCCCTTTCGCTTCCTAGAGATTTGGGAAATGTTAAAGACTTTGCCATTTTACAGATGATTTTGTTAGGACGCTTTTGTTAGGACAATTATTTTTCTTTCAATTATGAATCATACTGTCACGTCAAAACACATTTAATTGAAAGGGTAGCAGTTTGCATAGTACATCTATGTGCTCGCTACCAAAAATAATACCTCTAAAATAATACCTCCACAGAGCATAAGCACCTCTGAGTTGCTCGTATTGTGTTTTCTGTTGGCAATCCCTTTTGTCTGAAGTTTCTTAGTTATCTCTTCTGCACCAAGCAGGGTCTTTTTTGTTTTTTGTTTTTAAAGCCTCATTCTCTTTGCCCCTAAGAGACAGACATTTGTAATTATTAAAGGTCTTATAACCCTTTTGAGAAAGCATTGAACATGCATACCATCTGTAAGAAAACAATTTTTATTCAGTACCCCATGATGCTCATCCTTATATTTTGGTGACCTCCTGATATCACTATGTAGCTCTTGAAAGATTTCTCACCTCCTCTCTACTGATCCACCATTTTAAATGTTATTGAATTTCTGTTTGTAGGTCCTTTGTTGTTGTGTGAAAGTACAAACTTGCCTGTTCACTTATTCATTTCATATTTTTGTCCCCAAGTTAGCAGAATTAATTTGTCTCAATAAAATGCTGTTACAGTAGAGTTTTGATTTCACTTTATAAAGACCAAGTACAGAATCCTTGTAATAAATTCTCTTTAAGATAGAGGACTATACTGATTTATTCCCACTGAGGATTTGTTTCAAAGGTTTTTACTCTTACATTCATTTTAACTTTATTCTGTTTTTTCTTCTAGGGCAACAGGCTTTGGCTTTTTGAATGCGCTATGCAAAGCAGCAGCTGTACTTGGAAACTTAATATTTGGTTCCCTTGTTGGTATCACCAAAGCAATCCCTATTCTCCTTGCTTCTACTGTTCTAGTATGTGGAGGTCTGGTAGGACTTCGGCTTCCTGACACGAGAACACAGGTGTTGATGTAACTGGAAAAAGCCATTTACTGTTTATTTATTTACTTGTAAAATGTGAGCTCTACTGTTTGATGGTGCAAAGGCTTCAGATTCTCAATGCTTATCAGAGTGCTCTGATGACAGAAATCAAACATGGAAAAAGAGTGGCAGAGATTTAGAAAATACTGTATGAAAGTTTTAGATTTCACTTTCATTTGCTTGCATACTTTGCTATTTAAAACCACTTCACTTAACTTCAAACTGCAAAGCTACCTCTTAAAACACTTCCAGTGACATGTCCAGGAAGACAAAAATCATACTGATAATTAGATATTTAAAATGCAAGTGGTCATGTTATTAAAAAAAAAAAAAAAAATTCAATTTGGTCATGGCATTATGAGCTTTTGTAACAGTGCAGACATACAAGTCAAATACTTAGCAGTATTGGTGCAAGAAATATTGTTCTTATATGTATCAATGCATGCAGCATTAATCAGGAAACTGTATAGACTGCATCAGTACTCTTTGTTGCTGGTCCTCAAAAAAAAAAAAAAAAAAAAAAAAAGTTTTCTTCTCCTTTGTGGCATCTGGAATATTTTTGCCATTTTAAAACTGTGAATGTGTCTTGTTCCAGGTGTAGATCAATACAAACCAGTGTTTATGTTATTGTAAGTATGAATAAGGGAAGAATCAAGCCAGTAGACTCTATGAAAAGTAAAATGCTGTCAGAGAAGCTTGTTTGGTACATTTTTGTTTGGTATTTACAATTCTAATACATATTTCTCTGTCACAGAATGCCACCTATTGAATTTAGTCAGGTCATAACTTCAACATAGAGTATAGTGTAATTAAAATCTCTCAAAACGTTTTCTAAACAATATCAAAACAAAGAAAAGCAATAATAAAAACCTGAATTATTTTCATAGTTTATACATTCCTTCATACAACCATTTACTCAGCTGATTTTTAATATCATAGAAATATCTCACCATTTTCACCATTTAACACTTTCAAACAGCTCTTGGAAAAGCCATTAAGAAACCATGCCAAGGCTGTAGGCAGTGGTCATATCTTTATGAGACCAAGTGTAAAGATGGAGAGTAAATGTTAGTATATATGTTCCTTCTAAGCCATATGCTATGAATTGTCATGGATTGCAATAAAGACATCCCCACCTGTCCTACTGCCCTGTAAAAATGTTATTAGATCTCTTTAAAGTGTTAGCATTAAAAGTTAAATGTAGATACATCTATAAAATTATTAGACAAAAGGGACAGATCTGCTGATTACAGAAACTGGCTTTGCTTTCACTGAAGCTAAGACAGTCTCTATCAGCTGATGATAGAGTTTCAAGTTTTAAAGAAAAAAAAAAAACTTTTATTAGGTGGCTGAATTATTACCAAAGAAATTAGGCTTTCAGATAAAGTCAATGTATATAGTAAGATAGATTTTTTCACTTTTGTTTTCTCTTTCTCATATGTAAGAACTACTTACTTTTGGGTAGTAATATCTATCTCTGCATTATGTCAGTTGTCATTTTAGTTGTGTTGAAAGAGTCAGTAAAAGACAGTCTATACAAGATGATTTATTACATTTAAGGTTCACTATTTATTTACTAAATGTGGAAGTTACGTTTTTTGATTTTGAACAAATGCCTGTGCTATATATTGTAGCATAAAAAATTAACCCAGGGTGTGGTTTCTAGTATTAACAAATGAGAAAACGGGCTAAATTTAAAAAAGCATAAATATTGAAAATTACTAGGCATTTTTTGATGTTGATAAATAAAATATGGTAAAGAAACAGAAACAAAAACAAAAACAATTAAAAAAAAAGAACGTTTAAGAAGTATGTTTATTTTACAACATAAACAGTCAAAATGTCTGGCATAAAATATTGTATATCCAACCATGATTTAAAAGATGTATTTTAAATTTCTAAATGATATTTAAAAAAGGGGAGGAAAAATTATTTTTTGCCAGGTTCCAGGTTAAGAATAAAACATGGGCCTTACTTTTGCACCTGTCGCTTTTGTCCACTAGTCAGCATCTTATTATTTCAAGGCTGTTTTCCCTAGTAAGAACCGTATTTGTCTTTGGCCCCACTTCTCTGTGCCATTCATTAGTTGTATATGTCCACCTCCTTGTGTTTACTTTACATCTTATTTTGAAATCTGAAGCCTCTGTACGTATCCTGAGTGAAAATCAACAGCAATGGTAATATTACATTGTCTTGCTGTGTGCACTGTCCACTTCAAGTAGCATAGTCTGTCCAACTCTGTATATAATATTGAAGAACATCCAGATCCAATGCATTGTGCCACCTGATCAGTGTGGAGGTGGTCCACAGAACAATAAGACTCAACTCTTGAAGGTTCTAGTTCAAGGTTAATGCACTAAAATCTCATTACTTGTAAAATCATGCTGTTTGCAATGCTGGTTCTTATCCTAATTCCTGGCCACATCGTAAGTATATGATTAAGTCTGTATATAGTGAAGTGAGCAGCCTGAAAACCTGCATTGTACTTGGAATATAGCAACAGAGGAGATTAGTAAAGACAAAGTGCCCAGCAATGTGGACCTTGCATGGTCCAGGATTAGAGGGAATGTTCTAAGGTAGGAAAATGGATTAAAGAGAATACTGGTTAGGAAAGAGGAGAAAAAGTAAACAGAAGAGAACAAAATGAAAAAGTCCACAAATATTTCCACCATATTAAAACTAAAACTAGAATCTCAATAATTGATTAGCCAGTTGGCTCAACACATTTGAACTGATGTGTGAGCCAGCATGAAAGCTGTTTGAACAATCAAGTGGTTTGGGCTTGAATGCAATTAAGATTTATCCCATAAAGACAAAAGAGTGAATGTGATTTCAAGTTATAAATACTTGGTAAGATGCTTGTACTCCACAGTCTGAAACAGAAAAATGTGATCCCTGGAGATCTGGATGCAAATGTTATGTAAATTATAAGCAGAAGTGAGCTGTCTGGTCTTAAGGGAATGCATCTTTTTTGCAGCTTCTGAAGTGATCTCAGGTAATACACATTGGACAGTAGGAATTTCACTTCCTTTCTATGTCTGTTCATTTATATCTCACACAAAAAGTCACTTAGTGGCCTATACATACCCTTGATGCACCTATAATTAAGAGGTCATTTGCATATACCTTCAAAAGAGAATACCATATACTGCCTTATATGGCAACATAACTGTGTTACATACACACAGAGAACTGAACTTGATGGTATTTGTGTATCAGAGCTAACAACCACACATAATTGACTGACCTCTAACAGGAAAATTAGTTCAGTCTAAATTGAAGTCAGACACAGGGTCCAATGCCCTTCTCCTGTAAATCTGAAATAACTCATGCCTGTGACAGCAATGAAAAAAAGTACAACATACCCTAATGACAAAGAAACTGGATAGCATTTATAATGATACTTACTATGATGGTCAGCTGTTTTAAAACTGACAGCAAAACAGACCACATGTTTTGATTTTTGCCAAATTTTATTTTTATTATTTTTACTCGAGACAGGTTGATAGAAAATCTTCACTTACCAGACTTCTTTTTTTCCCTTTTTTTTTCTTTTTTTTTTTTTTTTTCGTGAAAGCATGTTATTCGTTGTGTTTGCACCCTTTAACAAGGTTGGCTATAGTCGTGTTAGTACCTTGTCAGTTAGGAGCCTGCACTACAACACTTGGCATGCATTGCATTGATTGCTGAGTACAGATTCCTAAAAAGGGAACCAGGAGTTTCATGGTTTCTGGAGTGCTCAAAGGAATTGCTAATGGATGATATATGGGGAAGCCTTCTTCTTTTGTGTTTGATTTTAGCTGGTGCCCTTCTAAAGGCATGTACCACAACACTAGCTACAGATGAAAAATCATTAGACTTCCTTCCTGATGGATCCTCTAGTAATCCTCTCAGAAGAGTGGGGCAGCCATGGCTGCTAAGTCAACCTTTGCTACCTTTCTTCTCTTGCCATTCCATTCCTTTTATCTGAAACTGCATTTCTTACCCAAAGGCCAACTACAAATAGTTAAAGTTCAATGCTCATGCTCTTGCTTCTAGCTTCATAGTAACATTCAGCAATAAGATTTGACACTCACCATTAGGATTTGGTAATCTCTTTTAAAAAAAAAAAAAGTGGAAAACAAACTCCTTCAGGCAATTATACATATATATATATTTTGTTTGTTTGTTTGTTTGTTTGTTTTGAGGGAATGAGACTCCACATTTCCCTACATATCCAGAAGGCTGAACTAATACATGTAGGAGGAATCTCCTCTCAGAATGGTCCTTTTTTGGCTCCTTCAGCTGTTTCAGTTCAGTGAGTAGAAGTATGGAGGAATTTTCTTGTTTGTGAACTTAGCTCAGCTCCATTTGAAGGAAATATTATTCTCTGCTCTTTTCTTTTTCTACAACATAGCCTTAACTTCACATAACTCCCTGGGCCTACTCTTGGAACATTACTGCTAATTCCAATTCTTAGCAGTATAGTATAGTCATCAGCACCTCGAACAAACAGACTCTGTGTGCTAGATTTATATTCTCTTCCTTACTGTGAGTTTTAAAATGATCGTCATAAGTCAGGAAGTGATGTTTACATCCAGTCACACCTCTTTACCTAAAAAAGATGATATCATTCTAATATAGCTACAAGCCATGTTTCCTGTTTAGTAACCTGGAAATGCAATTGAAATTTCAATCAGAAGGTTAAAAATGAATCCTTGCACTCAGGGGGTTAAAGATACAAGAAGTGAAAACAGAAATGCTCCACTTCCTCCAGAGTCTTGAAAGAAAACACATGTTCAGTAACCATATTCCAGAAGAAAGCTAGTCTGAAAGACTGTTTTTACTCTGCATTCCCTGCACTCTTGTTCATTAAACTCACTGTAAAATATTAAGTATTTGCCTGAATTAGTACTTTCCAAGGCTGTTAGTTTTGGAAAAAGAGTATGAAAAGACAGACTTCTGTATGTAGATTGGCAAGACAGGGATCAAGCAGTGATGTGGAATTAGCAAAGACATATTAGTGAATCTGGAACTTAGCTCAGGACCTCAATTAAACAGAAAACACCAATTTATAATGCTACCCACAGATCTCTTTTACCTTCATTGAATCACACCATACGATGAAATCAGCCTCACTTGCTTTCTTCTACTCTTATTCTAGTATTCCTTATATATATATATATATACCTTACTCACATGAACTAGGTGATACAAATTTATTTTCTTTTTCAATTGTTATCTGCCTTTGTTGCCATGGTGAATACCTTATTTCTTCATGCAAAGGAAAGATGCTTCAATATTTAATCATACTCTAAAGCTGTAAGATTATCCGATAGACCGTTGTGCACATTCAGGGCCTTTCTTAGAACTTCATGTGCATTCAGGACCTTTCTTTGATGCAGTGATTTAGTATGTCAGAAACAAGAAAAGGACTAACTGAACATGAAAAATATTTTTTTTTTGATATGTTGTTAGGTTGAGTCATCTCCAAAGATGTTGGTCTGTAATAGATAGCCATGCTCCCTAGGCCATGGAGTACATCCTCTACAAATAAAAATGAATAAAACATTAATTATTAGCAGTCTACTCTCACAACACACACAAGAAACGTGAGTAGAATGAAAGTACTCCCCAGAATGGGAAAAAATACAGGTGTAATTGCTGTCTGTGTTTACAGTGTTAATGACGCTCTTTGCCTGACAAAGACCTAAACCATATTGTTTGCTCCTTACCTATGCACAGTCCAAAAACCAAAACAAAGAAAGAGGCTACTTACCAATGAAGTTATTTGCCTTACACAAAATAATATTGTCCCTTCCACTGAGAATATTCATGAATACACATTTTAATGCCACATAACTGAGAGGATCTGCAGAGATCTCACTCATATGCTGGATCTCAACACCTTCATCTGTCTGCAAGTGAGAGAGAAAAATTTCTGGCAGTCTGTGTTTCATCACTCTTGCCACAGTCCATGTTTTTCTCACTGTCTTACTGTTCAATTCTGGGCATCTACCACCTGCCACTCAGTTTTTACCAATAGTTCTGTCCAAGCAAGTTGAAGGTACCTGCTGCTAACGGACAGCACTCATAACTCATTGCAAGCGTAAGAGTTCAGTATCTTACATATTGTCCGAGTTTCATGTTGTCTACAGCTAGATTCATCACCTTGCATTTATCTCTGATAATACCGCATGTATTCTAACCTATAAAGCATGCCCTATATCCTCTGAATATCTGTCTTGTAAATATATGCCTGTCCCCCACTGTCTATGTGGCAAAAGTCATTTGTGCATCTTCTGTAGGACCTGTTTTACACGTTTAAAATGTGGTCTTTCAAAAGAAGAGGGTGGGGAAAATAATGAAAGGGAATCAAATTGCTAATAGTAATATTTCAAGGTGTAGTGTTCCATTATTTTTTATTTTGGGAAGCTGTTTTCTTTAAGTCCTACCCTGCAGCTCTGTAATACTGTAGACTGTAAACAAGAAGTATTACATCATTAGAGGTGAATACATATGTGGACACACAAGTTTGTGTATGTATACATGCACGCACACACACACACAGACAAAGACAGGTTGATGTAAGATTTATAAACCATATTCTCATCTCATTCTTGATCTAAGTGTTACTTTCTGCATTATGTGTTATTCTTTGAACACAAATAACATTCTGTTCATTTCCTTGTGCAAAACACTTTACTTCCTCATGCATAAAAGTCTTGAGACGCCAAAATTCATCTTAGCTGTCAATTAGCTTTCTAGCATTGGAAAAGAACAGGTGAAATGGTCTGAAAAATAAAATTTGACTTAGCTGTAGCCTTCCTGCAGACACACTTTTCAAAACAGTGAGACAGTACAATTTGTTGTGAGGGTGACAGAGCACTGGAACAGGTTGCCCACAGAAACTGTAGAGTTTCCTTCTCTGGAAATCCTCAAAACTTGCCTGGACATGATCCTGGTCACCTTGCTTAGCAGGGGAGTTGGACTGGATGACCTCCAGAGGTCCCTTCCAACCTCGGCCATTCTGTTCGTCTGTGATACTGATGAACTCTTTTTGTCCCAGTGACTAAGAGAAACAGCACTCTCAGATATTTTAAATCCTGAAAAGCTAGAGTTTTGTCTTATTCAAATAGAAATCCTTTAAAAAGGTCCAAGTGGATCTCAACATGTTAGCTTCTGTGTAACGTATGAGAAAATGTCTGTGCCTTCCTGTAGCATATGCTTTCCATTGTTTCTGCATACATGGCTGCCGTTCTAGTAATGTGGTTATTCAATTGTTTACTGCTGCTCTTATCAGCAATCTTTGACCAGCCTGAAACAGAGCCATGTCCAGGGTGTCTTTTAGTTAATGATTAACATCCCCAAGGATCTACTACTGTAGTTAGTGCATTATAAATTAATTCCAGTTATAATTCAAGTTAATCCAGGGTGAAAATAGCAGCACATGCACACCCATGTGCTCACAGAGCAGTGAGGGTAGACAGAGTTCTTTCAAAAGCTCTGGCATCCACTACATTACTCCTTCCTTGTTTTAAGGACACTCACTCGTCCACATATGCTTCCCCTGGCAGGTATGTGCACACATCCTACAGAACTAAGAAATCACTAGAAGAAAAGGCATATTGATTTCAGAGGAGCTAACAGTGTACATTTCCTATAGGAAAACTAACTGCTTTATAGTAAGATAAATAAACAAATAGTAGGATAAAACAAAACAAAGCAACAACAAACAAACAAACAAAAGAAAAAAAGAAAAAAAAAGCCATGAAGCAAGCAATTGGTGGTGGTGATGATGGTGATGGTGGGTTTGATTGGTTGTTTTTTTTAGTGTGTTCTCTGAGTTAATAAACTAAGCACCAGCCTATATCAAACCTTCAGAAAGGGTAGGTGTGAAAGGTGGCAATAGTCACCTAATAAGACTTTTATAAAGTACTGGGTCTTTCCAGAAGCAAAACCTGTATTTAATGAGTAATACTGCAGCATGTGGCTTCTAATAGGCATCGTGAATAGACTGTTTCAAGCAGAAATTTGCTGTCCATATTTAACATAGCAGCAGGTGATAGTACATCATTCTGGAAATTTATACACATTGATTAAAACTAATAGTTTATAAAGAAACAGAGAAAAAGCAAGATTTGGAGAGAGATCTTACAAAAGTAAAAAAAAAAAAAAAAAAGCAAAACAAAATGAAAAAGCCAGCCTCCATTCATCTTTTGTGTCCAAACCTTGAAGGTCTTTCCAGTTTCTTTGTGCCCCTTCTAATATGCCCACTGATTCATTAGTGCTTCACTAGTCATAATCAAAGTTTTTACTGACAGTTGAAACAAAAATGAGAACTGGTACAAAATTAGAGCTGCAGGAAAGCCAGCTCATTTATAAAGAGAAAAATAAATGCACCAAGCTGCTAGTGACTGCGTTTATTGTCTTCCTTGTGTTTTATGATATTACAAACTGTTACATGAATCTAGTGATGTGTGTGTAAGCTGATCCATGTTTAAATCAATATTGTAACTTGCAAGATGGGGATATTAGCTTTCTTAGCTTTTTTCATCAAAAAGTGAATGTATTAAATACATGATTGTGTATACTGGCATGTGGAAATTTATGTTGTGAGAGAAATATGTTCATTTATCTCATTTTTTCAACATGAATAAAGCTATTCGTGTTTAAAAACCCTGGCTTTTCCCTATGAGTGTAACATTTCCCAACCAATAAAAGGATTTTTAACAGCATCCAATGCTATAAGCCTAATGAGTCAATTGACAGCTTATTTTAGCTATTTGCTATAGAATGGTATATTAAAAAATAAAAATGAAGTCTTTCCAAAAATAGCTGTTTTACCCCCAACTGCATAACAGTGACAACTAAACTGTATCTTTTACTTGGCCTCAAAAATATGTCATTTTACTGTACCTAAGCAGATCCTTTTTAAAGTGGGCAGTTTCTTTCACAGTGTAATAACATACAGAAGTCAGTCTACTGAGAGTAGAGTTCTTCTTCTTCAGTGTAATTTATTGGCATTGTCAGGTTAATGATTTTCTTAAAAATTTTTAGCATATCCTAATGCTGAGCAACAGAAGGAAAAAGTGCGTCATCTCCTAGTTTTTCATGAGCTATTTTCTGCTCCCAGTTTCTCCTGCTAACCTTCCACTGAAATTTCCAACTGGTCTAGGCCAACTGGGAGTATAGTTTTTCAAACTGTCTTTAGTGTACAAAAGTGCAGGTGTGCTAGTGTGCACGTGTTGTCAAGAAATTCATAACCACTTCTGACATTCTCTATTTCTTCATGTGAGAAAACATGTACATATTTTTTTCTACAGTAATGAGATATTTTGAATTCCCATTTATAGATGTTTACTTTCAGAATCTGCAGCAAGATCTTGGCAATGGTCCTTGCCTCTCTGTTTTTTGGTTGTTGTTTTTTATTAAATTCTTATTATTTGTTTTTCTTTCCTCCTGTGTGTGATCTCCTGTAATGCAGGTTACAGTCATCAATATTTGTATATGTGTTTGCATGCAGGTACATTGATAATTTCTCTTTTTTTTTGGAGTTCCAAATTTTTCATTTTACGTCCCTCTGGTACACTTATGAACTCATCTTTCCAGTATACTCCTCTGTGTCAAATTGTCAACTACCAAAATGTTTGACCAAGTGTTTTAATTAAGTCCCCTGAGGAAAGCTGTCTGTATACTTGTGAAAGGGCATGCTCTGTGTAGGATGACTGTGTACAGTATAAATCTATAAAACATGGAAGTGTTTATAAATATATCTGCCAATTATTTATCATCCATATTACAAATGAAAAATTATTTAGTATACATCAGATTAATAAAAGGGCATTTTTTGCTCTGCTATATTAAAATAAAGATTTGTTTGTTCTCTGCAATGAATACACATCAGGTGTGATAACAAGCAGAACATCATTCCTGTCTACCCACAAAATACTCAGAACAGTGTTTTTTACTCAGTTTGCTCTTTTATGAAAACTCTTTATGTATCTCATCCTTAGTGTCTGTAATAGAAGTAGAATATGCATTGAAAGAAAATGTGGAAGTTAATAAAGTTAAAGAAAGGTAAAAGACAATTTAAAAAGAGTAGAATTTTCTGTGGTTGCAAAAGACAAGGTTTTCCTATAGATAACCATCTGGGATTCACATTTTTAATGCTATATATAATAATATATATTTAGTATATAATTACACAAAATAGACATCTGTTCTTTCACTACATAACTGCACTGCAAGGATGTTTTATTACTGAAACTGTGTGAAAAGCATACTGCCACAAAGTATAATAATCTGTGCATCCAAAAGGCCAATAAGAACTTGTACAGTAAACTCTGGTTCTCCAAGAACTTTGCACCCAGCAAAGGAAAAAAAAAAATAGAGAGAGAAAGAGAGAGAGAGAAAGCAGCACTACAACAGTAGTTCTTTATCACATTTGCTCACTAAGAAACTCTGGAAAGCTTCAATTGATCAAATGTAGTATCTATAAAAAAACTGTCATCTCCATCGTTGTATCAGGAATATATTTCCAAATGTAGATATTTCAGAACAGACAATTAGTTTAACAAATCACACGAGCTTCTTCAGCTGTGTAACCAATAGGGAAAAAATAAGCTACATGTGAATTTAAGATTTTTTTTTATTATTATTATTTTTTTTTTGTGGGGGGGGGGAGGGGGCGGGCTTATGTAGAGCACTGTCTGCAAAACACAGCAATAAAGGATATATGACTTTGACAGATTTCTTCTATATGTGGTACAGTGAAGAAAAAAACTTTCCTAATTTATTAAGTATAGCCATATACTGGTTTCTTCTTCTAACAGAGATAAAAGGTTTTATACTTGGGTCTCCTAGTCTCATTCTAGGAAGAAATCAAAATCTTTTGTTCAGACAATAAAAGAACAACCCAAAAGTGAGTGTTGAAGAAGAATTACACATATTCTTCATAGATACCTTTCAGAAACTTCATCTTAAACCTTCATAGTAGGGGAATCTTGTGTCAGCTGAGCTTAGAGCAGTATTGCATATAGAGCATATCACTCTGCATAAAGGACATTTCCGCTTATAGGAGTGCAATTCTTTAATGAATCTTGCAGACTTAAGCATATTCAGATGAAATGGAGAAAAATATACTCCTGGCTGACACAGTTACGCTAGATAAAGGTGACGTTTAATTCAGAGTACTATACAGTTAATTTAGAGCAGTGTTTGTATTTGTGCATGCATATGTGTGTATATGCATTGTGTGAGAGAAGTATGTAGAGAACATGGATGCAAGTATAACACAAGAAGGTGCAATTTTGTGGTATGCAGCAACAGGAGACAAAATGTTAAGATACCATGCACATCATCCATATGCCTCTCTTTCTGCTAGGGTGTTATCTAGACTATGATTATTATTAATCCACCACAACTGTAAAGATATACATGTGATATACTAGGCCTATGTGAGATCAGTATCCAGTCCAAACCACTCCTGACAGTAATTAGTCATATCTGAAGCTTTTTTTGCAGCACTAAACCTTGAAAACTGAAAAAAGAAACATGACTCAAAGCTCTTCATATACTGTCCTGATAGTCTAAAGCTGAACTGGAAGTTGTACCATTCTGTATGTTTTCTGGTGTTGCTATACATAAACTTTCATAGGATTCAGGTGAATTCACTCTTTCTGCAGAAAATACACAGGTGGATTTTACATTATGTTACTTTTTGCTCTCGAAGTGGACCTAATTGGTCCAATTAATACTGCAGTAACGAGTGTGTCTTACTTTAGCAGATTGGTGTTACATACGCAAAGGGGCTTGGAAAGACACCAAGAACTGTATTACCGAGAGCTCTCCTTTGTATTTATTAGGGTACTCTGCCTTCTACAAAGGGCCATATGATTCTTCTCAGAAAGCTGTGTGCTGTTCCTACATTTAGGCCTGGAGACAGAAGTTGATTCTGCCACCACCAATAGTAATATCCAAAAAAACCTACATTTGGAAATTCTTTTGCTAACCAATCCAGGCAATGTTTTCAACCTTGGAAAGGAGAAGCCAAACCTGTATCAACCTTACCAATCCTTCAATTAAATTTTGTTTTCCATCAGACAAGCCAGGCGAGCACTTCTAACTACAGAATGGGAAATTGTCAAAGTACCCCTCAAGCAAATCATCCCATGCTGAAAAAATACATGTTGAACAATCATTAGCTACAAGAATGGAGTGGTTTTCACATTTAAATTACATTTCAATGTTTGCTGTAAACTTTTAAAATGTTGATTGGCTTTTGTCTGGCTTATGATCAGATATAACTTAGGCTACAGATCAAACCTAAATTCTCCTACAGGACTTTACAGTCAAATAGCCTGTTTATTTTTTTATAAAATAATGATAATAGAAAGAGTGGGATGATTGCAGAACAGCAGTGATTTTATAAGTGGTTACAATAGCTCTGAATTGTGAATTTTGCAGTTTGTTGCTTTATAATATATTTGTTTTCTTCCTTATTCATCCTCCAGCACTGACAATTCATTAAATGAGAAGATAAATTCATGTACTAAAGGAACAAAGCAAACACACTTGAAAAGAAGAAAGAAGAGAATTGGAGGGTCGCAATGAGGAATTTGTTGTGTTTTTTCCTCTTGGAGTTCCCTCTTGTCCTCACCCAAGGAACTCTAAACTGAGACTGAAATCATGTAATATTCACTTGACTATTCTGAGCACTAACACCTAAGGCCACACGTTCCCTTCAGGTGTTCGCCTACCCTCCACTGCCTTTAGACTACGACAACCACAAATGTTACCAGAGAAGGAAAATGGTGTTCTTCAGGACCTGTCTCCTATGAGTCCATACAAACTGCAAACCCCATAACAATGGGAATGTCAAGGAGCTCCTGGCTTTAAATTAAAACATTCTTAGCTTTGCAGTCATGCCAGCTGGTGGACTTTACAGAGAGTAGGAATTAGAAATCAGATAAAACAAAGAGTAATTAACCTTCTCCAGCATCCTGGAAATGATGTCATTAGTGCACTCTTGTATTTGTTCCATCATTTGGCTTTAATGGCTAATTGCACATACTCTTCCAATGGCTTCCTTGCAAACTCCAGAGTCCGCCTACAAACAGTGTTTTTCAGCCTTGGTGGTAGAGCTAGATCATGTGAAAGGAAATCCTCCTGGTATTTAGGATTACATAGCAGTTAGGATCTCTTTTTCCCAGGTTCATTTCCCATCCATCAGGTCTGGAGCCTTGGTGAACTGTTATCTATGCTTTGTTCACCTGCCATTTTATTCATTATGAGTTAAAAAAAAAATTACTGAAAACAAGCTGAGGCCCCTTGAGCATACTCAGCAGCCCAGTTCTCAAGAGTACCAGAGGAGTTTGCCTTTTCAGCCTTTAGGTAGAATCACAGCTTTTTAAATCTGAATAAATGGGTGAATCTAAAAAAATAAAAAATAAAATAAAGCAAAATAAAACAAAACAAAATATTAATATTAATATTAATAGGCCATTAGCTTTAGCAAACATTGAAATGGGACAAAGGAACAGTAAGATACTGTCATACTCTTGAGTTACAGGTATGTCATTATTATACTGCTAGCATGGACTTTAACCTGTCTTTGGAAGGGCTGTTAGACCATGTTTTGCAAGCCACAATACATACAAAATACATAATTGTTAAGGA